GATAAAAGAGTAAAAGTTTTCCTGTTGGTATTCAGGTATGGTAAGTTTGAGAGATTCAGGTTGAAAAGTTTGAAAAATTTTGCAATCAGTGTTTAGATTTAAAAAGAAATCCTGAATCTTTAATCTTTTCATTTACTCCTCATTTTATTATTACCATATTTCCTAGACTATTTTCCACCCTACATTTAAAGCGCTCGGTTCTGAAAATTTTAAAAGTATTCGTTAAATTTTCCTTTCCTCGGTGCTTTCAGCGAAAGAGTTCCCCTAAATTTTAAAAGGGATTCGTCTACCTAAAGATTGTTTTCTATTACTAACAAAAACAAATCTTCGTACCGAACCTTTCTTATATAACTGCTGAATTTTATATTAGATCGAAGAACAGATACACCACAGCCAAGCAAAATAAACCGACATTCATTCCATGATTTCACTGTGTCGGCTTCACATTCACATTCTTTAATTAATTATGGATGATGTGAGCCTTAAGGATTAGCTCAGACAACAATAAGAACGGGCGAGATTCGAGTTACAGGAAAGTAGAAATGAAGATATCTTAGTAGATATTGTAATGTCAATTATTACCATGTATTTTTATTAGAGTGTAGATTTTTTAAAAGAAAAAAAATTCTGATAGTCACCTGTAGTTTATCCATGACTAATTTCCATTTGTTATGTTCTTGATTTTACCAGCTTTTTTTTTGGAAATTAAATTATTTGCATAATTTCCCCATTTTGATTTTCTGGAGATAAAATCAGTAAAAATGGGGGGGGGGAGGAATACGACAGGAAATATGGTATTATTATTTTAGCCCAGGAAGCCGCTTAATTTAGTTTTGGCATTTTGCGTTGGTTCACTATAAACGGAGTTTCACTTTTCAAATTGATACCACCAAATATTAGAGCCTTTTCATTTAAAGAAAATTAGTAATGAAGAATCTGCATGAATGTATGTATGTTTTTCGCACTTTGAAAAACAACTGTATTTAGAGCCATAAAATTTTGAATAACGTACGTCTCCACTTGAAAATGGGCATATGGAAGCCCAAATTTGGAATTTGCTTTATTATGCATTTCATATTTTATAAAGCATTTATGAGTTTTTGATTAAGAAACTCAACGATTTCAAAGCGAGCAATGGCAACAATGTACTAAGTAAAAAAAAAAAAAAAAAAAAAAAAAAAAAAAAAAAAACAGGAATCTCCAGCGCGCGGAGGCTCTGTATCGGAAATTCTAAAGATATGTCATTCTAAAACTATTTTGTATTGCTGTTGAACTGAAATTTTATGAATTTATGGAATTACGTGCGAAGAACGTGATATAAATAAAAATGTAACATACAAAATGTAAAACGCCTCTTTGGACGTATTTAAATCTTAACCTTTCAGATTTTTTTTTTATTTTTATTTTTAAAAAATATTTTATTAAATGTCACTTAACTCACTTTGACTTCAGCGTGGGCTGAATCGATTGCAGTAATAGTTTTGGTTAAAATCGATGTTAGCGCAATTATTTAAAACGGGTACCCTTTATTTCATATGGATGTAGAGCTTGGGGATTGTCTCTAAAAAAGAAAATTAACTCTAAACTCCTGCTTCGAGTTTCAAAGACGAATTTTGCTGCGAGTTAAAGGGTTTACCAAACTAGTTACGATGCTGTTTTCTTTCTGGGCGGATTACACCTCTGGATTGTTTATTCTGACCTTTATACACTCACGTTGTGAAAATGCAAACACCATGAAGGACTACGCGAGTGCTGAAATTTTCAGGAAATGCAAAGTAGCGCATGAGATGCAAATGATTAGAATTGCAAATCCGTAGCGCATGCGTATGCTGACAGCGCCCTCTGAACGGCTGATGGATCCGAAAAATAGACGGCTGTAGCGAGGCGTGTATGGTTATTCGGTGGTTATCTGCTAGTGGTAAACGTTAACTCAATCGGTACTTATGCTCGTCGACGAAAGAGAGTGAGATTTGAACAACTTACAGAGTTGAACGAGGGAGAATCAATCGGCCTTCGTGAAGCTGGATTGTCGTATCGTGCAGTAGCCTCTCGTGTGCAGCGTAACAGCAGCACAGTGATGCGCGTTTGGAAGCAGTGGACGGACGAGTGTCGGACAACTCGGAAATCCGGAGTGGACCCCGAATGTGACGTCAGCTCGCGATGATAGACACCTGGTCCGCATGGCGCGGACGGACTGTACAGCTTCTTTCTAGACAATTGGCAGCACTGTGGTCAATAGCTACAGGTGTTTCATTGTGTGCTTCATCAATTCGTAGACGTCTGCTGCAGTGTGGACTGCGCGCACGGACTCCTTTATACAGGATCCCCTAACGCACGACCATCGCCGCCTGCGGCTACAATGGGCCAATCAGCATAGAGACTGGCGTGCTGATTGGGCAGCATGTCGTGTTTTCTGACGAATCCCGCCTTTATTTGTGGTACCATGATGGCCGCATTCGTGTCAGACGCTATGCCGGTGAACGCCACCTTCCGGAGTGCATTATCGAAACGCCACAGTGGACGAACACCCGGAGTTATGGTCTGGGGCGCCATAGCATATCATAGACGATCTCAATTGCTACGAATTGTGGGCAATCTGAACAGCAACCGGTATATCCGTGAAGTTTCTACAGCCCGAAGCTGTTCCCTTCCTTCAAAGCTTGCCAGGCGCTGTATTTCAACAGACAATGCCCGCCCTCATACTGCTCGGATTGTTAAATCCTTCTTTGCAGCAGCAGGTACAGCTTTTCTTCCTTGGCCTGCGTGTTCCCCGGATATGTCGCCAATTGAACATGTGTGGGATGTCATTGGTCGGCGTCTTGCTCGTGATCCTCGTCCTGTTGCGTCTGCAGACGAACTTTGGGTACGCGTACAAACGATATGGAATGCTCTTCCTCAGTCAGACATTCAAACTTTGTTTGACTCCATGCCACGTCGTGTAGCAGCACTTATTGCGGCGCGTGGGGTCCACACAAAATACTGATTCTGATCTCTTGTTCTTGTTTGCTTGCTTTGAACATTTAATCATTTATTTGTACCACTACCACTCAACTGTGTATTAAATTGCATTCAATTATGACGATTCCTTCTTGGTGTTGCAGTTTCACAAACGTGAGTATAGATTACAAGAATAGTCTTGCAAACTACTCCAATTCTCATTTTGATCCTTTATTGCCCTTGTCTGTTCTTCCACATCCTTCTGTAAGACAACCAGTACAGATTCTGGATAGTATGGACACTGATGTAAATTCATTCTCATTTGTGTTGTATAAGGATGGTAGTAGGATTGATGATAAAGCTGTTTTTGCTTATGTTATTTTTGAAGATGATATTAAATGTCACCAATTTCGTATTAGAAATGAATGTACTGTATATATTTCTGGGCTTCTGTGTATTAATTTTGCAATCAAGTGGATAATTAGCCAGGATGGAAGTGGTTCCAGCTACTTAATCTGTACGGATTCACTCTCTTCGCTGGAATCCTTTAAAAATACCTCTTTATGTTATGATATCATTGTTAATAGACAGCAGTCTCTCGGAGATCTGGAGAAGAAGGTATTTCAGTGATTTTTTACATTTGTCCGTGGTCATTCGGGTAATTATGGAAACGAGAGAGCTGATTGGCTTGCTACGAATGCAACTAAAAATGATATTATGTTGATGTAAATATTCCAAAATCTTATTTTAAAAAAACATTCAAAGCTAAAATGATTGAGCTGTGGAACTGTGATTATATCTCTTCTGATAAGGGATCTGTTACAAAAACATTCTTCCCAACTATTTTTGAAAGACTGAAAAGTAAGGACTTGTTGCTCACTTTTAAAGTTACGCAATTTTTGTCTGGACATGGTAAGTTTAATGTTTATCTTAAACGATTCAAGCTGACATCTTTCAATTTGTGTTATTGCAATCTTACCATTCAGCAAAGTGTTTTCCACCTGCTTTTTGACTACCCATTGCTTGATAAAGCAAGAAATCTATTGAAATGTAGATTAAAATTAGTTGGAATTAGAAGAAACAAAGAATCATAATTTGGAGAAATGTTGATTAATGTATAATATAAATATTTCATATGAGTACAACTGAAAGAAAATAAATACACTCAGGAAAAAGTTATTTTGAGAAAAGGGAAAATGTCATTTTATTTATTTTATTACTAAATATTTACACATACAAATGTACACAAAACTAAATGTATATGAATAAAAATAGACTAGCACATCTGTTTACCGACAACTAACAATGGTTATGAAAATTGCACATTTTTGAGCCATATTCAGTAATACAAAGAACTAAAACTTGAGACTTTCTACAGAAAAATTATGAATGTACAGAAATAACATGCATAAAAGAATTAGAAAACTCAAATACAAAACGTGTATACATAAATCTTCAATAGCTATGATAAGATAGGATATCAAACGATACAAAAAATCTAAATCTTATACATCTCTATATAAAGTCTATGAGAATGCAAAAATAACATGAATAAGTATAAAAAAGAATGAGTAGGCTTGAGGGCCTAACCTTTAGATACAAATTTGCAATTAGAAGTCAAAAGATTACTTAAAAGACTGCAAATTTACTTACGTATTGCGTTTCAGGATCCTTGTGAATTTAACAAAGAATGAACATTGTAATTACTTATTTGCAGTTATAAGATTTTTGCACCATTCGATATAATTTTAATGCATTTAAGAAAATTACATTTAGTAAATTTATTTAATATAGAAACAGAATATTTCACAATATTAAAAAAAGATTTATTGTAAGTATTAATTATTAAATTCCTACTATTAGCTCACACTCTCTCTATATCTTATTCAAATTTTCAATCGTTAATGAAATACATTTTATTCATCCACTCAAGTTCAAATACATTTTTTTAAAACTTGTAGTGGATGACACTTGATGTTAATACAGTTTTTTCACATATTAAACAATTTTTAATTTTTAATTTTAAAATTATATTTGGTATTTAAAAAAATTTCTTTGTTGACCTAAATAGGAACTGACTTTAAATTTTTGTACTTAATTAATTATTAATTAATTAATTTTCAATCATTAATAAAATTTTTTATTCATCCACTCAAGTTCAAATACATTTTTTAAAATTTGTAGTGGAGGATACTTAGTGTTAACACAGTTTTTTTCACATATTAAAATTATTAAAACTTTTAATTTAAACAAATTGTTTTATTTAAAAGAATTTTTATATTTAAAAAAATTTTTTTATTCACCTAAGTATTAATTGACTTTAAATTTTTTTTATATTACTTGCTTTTTAGTATTTTAGTAGTAACTCCTCTTACTAATGCCCAAATTGATAAATTTGCTGTTTTCTAACTGATGCACTTAGATTTATATAATTTAACACATTTATATGGATATTTGTATACATACATTGCCTAATTAAACGAGCTTTGTATAGTTCTGTTAAGTTTCGAAAAATATTACTCACTAAAATTAATTGTGAACATTCTGTAATGGCATCACCACCATTCTCCACTGCTATCCAGATCTTGTCCAATATCTCCTGCTGATGCAATTTCATCCAACTCGTCGTGAATAGTTGGTATCTCATCACTAGAACTTGCTTTAATGACATCTGAGCTCTGACTTAGTTGTTCCACCCAGTTTTCTATGTTGTGAGAAGCAGCTTGCAACTGTTCAACAGCGTGATGTCCTGATACAAGATGTGAGGTATCAATTAAGTTTTGGTGGCCTGATCCAAGCTGAGAGTTTTCAATTATTTTATGATGCTCGAAATTAGTATGAGGGAATTGCCAAGGATTATGTCCAACTTGTTGCGTAGACAAGGAACTGCTGTAGATGGGAACCCTTAAACGAATAAGAAAAAAAAAATTAATTTAATATCAAAAGAAAAGGCATTTGCAAAAATAGAATAGATGTACCTGTAGATCATATTATTTCAGTTTGAACGTCTTAAAGAATTTTATGTCATTTCAAGGTACAACATGTGGAGGTGCGAGGAATTTTGGGAGAAAAGAAATGATGAAATTCGGTCGCAAAAATTATTTGTTACTGGCTCATGTGCCTTTGCAGGATCGATTACCTAAACCAATGCCTAGAATCGAAAGCTAAATCCAACGGTAAGTATTACACTAGCCATCAAACCGCCCAGGTAGCTACTGGCTAATTTGATTAAACTAACAGTTGTGACGAATTTAAAAACAAGAGGCTTTCTAGGCTATATGCAAAATAAAAATAAATAAACTTATAAAATATTGTTCTCACAGTGTAGGGTGAGAGTAAAGAAATACAACCAGATTCAGACGGTGTTAATAAAGTTTCTGTTTAGAACTGAGCCAAAATAAAAGTTCTTGTTTGGAAATAGTAGTTCAAGGTGAGGTATGGTTCAAGATGATGCTGTGTAGAATTAATCGATTCTCTAAGCCAATGGTTGCTGGACTGAACTGGTTCTAAGCAGGGTGCTCCTCCGTAAGGTAGCGGCGAACCCGGCTACCTCGCTGTAATCTCTTGGCAGTGATGCTAATATCGCTCTGCGTAGAGCGATACAAATTTGCTCCTGGCAGAGCTGGAGAGAACGTTTCTCTCTCTATACTGCGACTTACTCTCACTCGCTCTCTCTCCCTGGAACCGCATTCCACGATTTTGTTCAAGTTGTCCTGGGCGTGTCGGAAAAAATTCAGGATCCTCATTTGTCCGTAATTTTTAGAAGCGCCTCTTGATTGGTGACAGCACTTTCATTAAAACCTGGATATGATGAAGACAGCCTGGGAAAAAGCCCGTGAGAACTTTCCGGTTCCAACTGGGGACTCAGACCGGGTGTCTGAGACACTGCACCTATAAATTATGAAAGGGAACAGAACAATGTCTCCCTTCAAACAACTATAAGAGGAACAAAAACTCGAAATTATTTTGTGACTGCTGGTCTCTTCAACTTTCCGAGAATTCGCTAATAAATACTCTGTCCGTGGGAACTTTCGACGGGGCCATTCTTTTTCTCAGAACTTCGTGGTGAGATAAAACAGCTTAAGACGTTACACAGTGTTTACCAACATGATTCTTCACTCTTTTGTCTTCTCTCTGCCATTTCAAATACCATTGAAGAGAAATCTGTAGTCCTCCAAAAGGTCTACATTACTGTTCTGGTGGCAAACAGTAAATGAGTTTACTGAATTCCTTCTACAAGATGAGGATGCAGTGACTTAGTTTAACTGATTGTTTTTGGTTATGAGATTATCTAGTAGAAAACATCAAGAATATCTATCGGCTTGTGTAGCAGCAAGTGTTTCTCCACCAGAAATCAGGTGTTTATCGTATATCCCAGACCAGCGATTCTGAACCAGTGTTACACGTGCCACTAGTGGTACGCAAGAGAAAAATAGGTGGTACACAAAGAAACAAAGTATTTTAACTATTACATTTAAAAATCTCAGGAAGAAAAAGAACAATTGATAGAAATTTCCTGTGATCGAGCTCTAACTGAATATTTAAAAAATAACACACTTGTTAACTTTTGACTGAACCGAAAAAAATAATTTAAAAGCATTTCAAATAACGCCATTAAATTTTAATTGCCTTTTTGCACAACCTATTTGTGTTGACAAGGATTTGCTTTCATGTTACATTTGAATAATAAATACAGATGAAAATTAAAAGTGGATCTTGATTTACGGTTAAAACTAAGTGAAATAAGACCAGACATAAAGAAATGACTCCTTCTTAAACAGGCCTAAATTTCACACTAAATTTTAGAATTAATGTATTGTAACTTAAATTTTAATAATTAAAACGGTAACCAATTTTTAATCTAATATTTTTTATTTGTGCATATTTAATACAAATAGTTGTGCAAATGGCCAAATATATACTATAAAGTTTTCATATTTCGATTGAGAAATTGAAAAATAATCATTGTAAAATGTAGTGGTGGTACTAAAGTTTTTCAGATTTTGTTTAAATGGTACGCGTTAGTTAAAAGGTTGAGAACCGCTGTCCTAGACCATTATAAGATTGCAGTTCACAAAAAGAACTAAAATTTTTAACCAGCTTACATCATCTCTTACCGTACAGATTTATGGTGCATAATCAACGCATATCTTCAATTTACCATAGTTTGGGCTCAATTATTTACATAATTACATATACAACATTACATAATTACATATACAATTATTTACATAATACATAATCAAGAACTTCCAGACTATTTTACTCTATGGAAAAAATAACTTCCAATTTAAATTAATTGAAGAGAAAAGACTAATTTAAAGACTCTCTAGAAAGACTAATTTAAGTACTAATTTTACATATTTAAAAGGAACAAAAAGAACTAAAATTTTACTTTATTTTTAACATTTTTAGTACTCGGTTTCTGTGCCTTAGTTTTCCAGATTTTTTAAAATTATTAATTTAATTAAATTTGAGATAGAAGGCGTCGCTTAATAGGATAACGTTTGATAACATAAGAGGATGAGAAAAATTATTCTTTGAGATAGTAATGGAATTTAATTTAATATAAATGTAACCAGAAATATATATATGTATAAATAAGTACTCGCAGTGTATTTTAATTAGCAAAAGACAAAAACCTGTTGAAAAAGTTTCTGGAAATTATTTAACTGATGTTGTGCCCTTATCATAGTACTTGGAAGGCACCTCTCGTTGAAAGAAAATATAACAATATGTACTTAAAGATTAAGGGCGAAAAAAAAGCAACCTTAGTAGATGTTTTCGTGGATTGTTTTCCAGGAGCAAGAAAAAAGGCGGAAAATTCTGCGGAATTTTTTTTCTTGAAGAAGAGGACCCAGGTCTGATTAGAGTTATTAAAAATCTATGCCAAATTAAGCTTGCCTTTTCTGCTCAATTTTAAATGATTGATTAAAATTGAAATGAAGTTTTTAAGTGACTAATTTTTTATTTGGCAACATTTCTCTGTCACTTAAAAAGCTTTGTAAACAGAATTATCGACTACAATATGGGAAGTATTTTCCATGCTTTCATACAGAAACGAGAGGGACTTCGGCAGTTCGATAACGATATATGAAATGATATCATTAAACGCGATCACATTAAATAGCGTCTTCTGTAGTTTTCATAATTAAAATTTCTATGATATGTATAATGAGCATGGCTGAGTTTCGTTTTTTATTGCACCGTCTGGGCCCAGTATGATGTTATAGCTAAACATTAATTTTTCCAGAAGGGTCAGAAATCAATCCTAAAATCAAATCAATATATAATCTGTATATAATCCAACGAATTTCCTTTTAATTTTCCAGTGGTATATTTTTGTGACAAGATCTGACCTATTTTCGAGTATGTAGATTCTTGTTTATCGGAAATATTTAACCAAATTTACATTTACATTAAATATTTTACCAAATTTAACATCTTACGAAAAAAATATTTTACCTTAAAATGTACTCATATTTTACCAATTTACAATCTATGCTTTTATGTAGATATACTCAATTCGCGGTTCCACGAACAGTCAGCTGAATTTTAGAAATTAGAGTCTGAAGTATGCAAAAATGCGATCAAATTGGACAGAAATGCTCCTCACGGTATTTTACATAGGTGTGTTTGGTGTGTATTTAATTATGGCAAAGCACACGAGGGCTGTCTGCCTAAGGGAAGGGATGCCTTCGTGGAGGATCTTTCTAAGGGAAACTGGCTCGTATACACGTTACACATGGGGAAAACCACGAAAACACCCATGCAGCCAGCCCGTTCGCGGGATTCGAACCTCGGACGGAACTACCAGTGTTCAGCGATTTTACCGCTCGGCCGCTGGTAGGAATTTACATACGTAATGCTTTGCAAATCCTTCTATTCTGAAATCAGTACAAAAAGAATTTGCATAAAATTTAACTTACTGGCTTTCACCGTGAGGATGTGTAAGACATGATTGGTCAAAAATAGCATGTCCTAATAAAAAAAAGACATTAAGAATGCTTGTCCTAATTAAAAATCACTTTTGAATGTTTCTTTATTTAAGAAATTTCATCTTTTTTTTATGAGTATTTTTAAAGGATATTGCAAGAAAAAATAAAAATGATTTAAAGCATAAAAAATTTTATTTTTTCAGTAGCTTATTTTTAAATTAAAATTTTACAAAGAAAAATTTAACAATTAAAATGTCTTTTTTCTCCTACAATTCTGAGTATTTAGATCCAAAATTTTTTTATTGTACTTATTAGAATATTCTTAATATTTCTAGGATCCATTTTTCAATTAAGAAATTAGTTCCTAAGAAAATATTAACAGCACATTTTGTATGTAAAATATTTGAACAAAATATGATTTCAATTACATTTTTACTTCCAATAATTTTTCTTTTCAATATTTTGCGAAACCCATACTTATTAATTACATAATTTTATACAAGCATTTATAATATTTAATAATTTAATCTATACTTATTGCTATTTAATTGATTAATATAAACATAAATTATATGCTTTTACTTGAAACCTTCTCTGACCGGAAACTTCGCAAGTAAAATGATAATTGCAAGCAGAAATTTTGCTTTACTTGTTCTTGTTTTATAAAATACATTCAGAAGAATTTTAATATGTTGATTAATTATATATATTTAATAAAACATTTATGTATTACTGTATTAATTTGTTGCTTTGTAATATTAATTTTTAATTTTTTTCTTTTTTAAAAAGTAAAATTTGAAATTTGAAAAGGCATAAATCATTTTATTTAAAACCGCTTAGAAGAATATGTGATTTCTTCTCTCCTTTTAGCCATTTGGTCTCATATATAAATTATATTTTAAACTAATTTAGGAGTATTTTGATTAATAAAAGAGTTTAATGTTTAGTCCAGCAGGAGTTTTAATA